GACACCTTATTATTTTATCCGTACATTTCAATGCAGGTCAAATTGGCTTTTTCTTTGTCAGGCATGTGTTAAATAAACCCCACTTCATTTGGGTGTTTTTACATTCAAATTCATTCAATTTTTATTTTTTATAAGGCGCCCAATTCATAACAGAATACTTTATATATGTCCAAATTTAGGCAGCAATTTCATTCAGGGATTCACGTCCACCTTAACTTTCATTTGCTATGCCAGGATGAACACAGTATATCTCATCGGATCAAGCGCCCAATGGGAATAATTAATCATTATCGTGGTGTTAAATAAAACTGGGTCTTAGTGGACATAAAATTCCGGGGATGAGCTGCAAATTTCTGATGTTGAGAACTCAAAAAAAAACTAAATGTCTTGTACCTTGCCCCACAAAATACCTTAGAGGACAACACTCACTGTCCTAAAGATATACTACTCTAAATGGATTACACGTTCGCCTCTAGCAACCGACTGGTCAAGGAATCTTGGAGGTTATCTTTGGAGCAGGATTTTGATGTTAAGTCCCACAATAACAGCAGACCGTCTAAGGACTGGCCTTCTTCATTTACGTAATATTGGCAACAAAAATTGAGATATCATCCTATCCATAAGACAGATGCCAGAAAAACTAGATCCCGCATTTGTTACCTTCTAGGCGGATTACTGGCCAACTCTTTATTATCAGTTGCGGGGTCTCCTGTAGATCAGAAGGGTTTGTTTTGTCGATCGCTGGTTGCAGGTGATCCTTAAACAGAGTGACTGAACCCCACAGCGTCGAGTGCGATCGCGGTCGGAGAGTGTGTGGGAAATTAGTTAGTTTCTGTTCGACGCAGTGGCTTGACCATCACGGGAGTGGATGGGTTGAAGGGCGATGGCTGGTCAGGTGTAAAACACGGGTCCCGAGGGTTTTGAGTGGTCTGGAGACTAGAAGGGCGACACACATCAACAACTTTAGCGTATTTACCCATTTTCACCCATTTTCACCCGTTCCGCCACATACACACCACAAATTAATTCAGAATGCCGCACGATCAGCCCCCCTCCGAAGGACGCTCTGTTCGCATCTCTTTCACTGCTCTTGTCAAAAATCAATACATTCAAAAATCCTCTCTATCACCTTCACAAGCTTCTCTTTAATGTCAGCCCTTCAGTGATCTTAGACGAGCTCATAGTACCCTATTGCACCCATCTAGAACACTGCGTTCTCGTAAATGCAGGCTACTTGTGTTTGCAGTAGTCTCTTAAAAGTACGAACAGGAGCCAGAACATTCAGTTACCGGTTAGCTCCTCCTCCTGTGGAACCAAGCTTCATTTGTGTTCGGGCAGTCAACACCTCCCTCCCCACATTTAAGAGTAGGCTTAAGCACAGTTCCGTCATTTGATAACAGCTTATAGTTAGGCCTGGCGTCGAGGGTGAGTTGCAACGATCCGCTGTAGTTAGTGCTGCTAATAACGGCAATATCGGGGTGTTCCATGGTGCAGCTGGAGCCTCCTTCTCCTCCCTATCATCTCCTTTCTGCACTCCATTCATTCCCTTAATGCCATTTATAACTTTACCTTCCTTCCCCGAGTTCTTCGTGCTTTCCTCCGCTTGCAGGTTCTTATGATTTGGTGAGCCCACATTAGCCATGGTCTCTTGACATGGCCCATTGCACACACATCACTGATATGTATTGTATTGTATTTAGTTATTATATACAACCAATTTTCACCTTCCAGTTAGAGCTTTACTGCTTGTCGCTCTCGCTGTCACCCTCGTTGTGCTGTCATCGTCATCGTCCTTTTTCATGTCGGGTCATCAGTCTTACTTTGTAGTTGTTGCTACTGTTGTGCATGTACAGATCTGTCTGTCTTCTTCTTTGGTTCTTCATCTCTCTCTTCTCCTCTCTCATTCTCTTCCCTTCTCTTCTGGCCTCTCTCTCTGCCTCTTAACAGGATTTTTCCTTGCCACCAGTCGCACGAGAGGTGGGTTCAAACTGTTGGTCTCTGGTAAGTAAAAGGAGTCGGTCTAGACTGCTCTATTAGGAAAGTGTCTAGGATAACTATCTGTTATGAATGGACGCTTCATTTGAATTGATTGAATTAAATACTTTATTGTTAAGGAAGGCGGCGTTCAGTAGCATTAAAACATCACAGGACAATAAGGTATAACAGGTATGTTAATGTCTTTTATTTTTTATTCACTAAAATTTCAAGGTCAGAATCGAATTTGGTGGAAATATTTAAATATATATATATTCTTCTGGTGATTGTGTAATAGTCTAAATAATTTTCACATCAATCTTAAACTTCTCTTACATTACGTCTGACTCTGAGTTTAAGGAGCGCTTCTGAAGTTTCAGGATCGGACCATGATCAATGTTATCACGACAGCCGCTGGAGTCAAGGTGGATGGGTGACAGAATGTCTTGACACAGAGTACAGTCTGTTTTCCATTATACAGGCCGCACCAATCGGACCTCAAATCTGCCTCCTAACAACCAAACCGACATTCAGCTGACATATCTATTGTCAAAGTTTGCATTGTTAGTATATTAGCTCCACATGGAGATTTGACTCACTTTTGAGCCAGCGAAGGTGAGCCGTTAGAACTGCAAGTTTTGTTATTTCAAAGATGGTTTGATTAATCTGTAGCCGACAGGAAGTTTGCTGGACTTGTTTGAGTGAAAGAGAGAGAAGAACGAAGAAGAAGAAAAGAAGAAGAAGAAAGAAGACAGATCCACAGCAAGAAAAAAAGAAAACAACAACACACGCTCAGATAATTAACAATAATGATTGGATTATAAAGACAATTCAGGAAAACCATTTTTATTCTGAATAACGGTATGTTGTGTATGTAGAGATGATTTTTTAAAATAAACTTTTCGAAAGCAACAACCAATGTGTATGTATCGGTTTTTAAACTCCAGATCTGATTGTAAAATTAAATTTTAGAATTTTTTTGAACCATCAATTAAATCCTGTTGCTACCACTGTTGTTATGTCTGTATAATGCGTAAATTATATATGTGATATCCCAGTAGTATTTCATTGGGTCCAGTGTGTCTTAGTTGAACCAACCAGCAGGCCTGATAAAATGTTTATCCAAACGTAACTTTATGTGATATAATGTTCTGTTGTTTCAATGGTAACTCTAATAGTATGTAGTCCATGATGCGTCTCATGCCATGGAACCTCATGTTGCCTCATGCCCATGGTCCATTGAAGTTCCTGTACTCTCCAGGCCCTCAAATGTACATCATCCTGCCTCTTGATATTGCTCTCGTACATCAGCAAGTGTCCGTCCATCACGTTAGCCATGACACTGGCAGTTTGACATGCGTACGTGCCACTGATGTTGGTCGCAGGCGCCATACGAGCTCGTGCCATACATGCCTCCCAAAGTTCTCCCTCTCATAGATCCTCATACCTGTAGGAGCCACGGTGCTGCAACACACCAATAATCAATCATTAATCATCAATCGGCACCATCTTGTTTGGCTATTAAGGTAAACAAAAGTGGACTAGAAGTCCACCAACAGGGACCTAGTGCTAGTTCTGCTCTGATCATTGTATATATTACGGACAGAACTTCCAGGTCTGTGAAGTGTATTAAAACCCGCATTCTACGTAATGACCAGCAGGGGTCACACAGACATTCTTTTGATACCAGATGCACTTAACGGATCACAACTCTTCGATGCTTAATTGGATTTCATCCAAATTTGGCAATGTTGTACATTGCACGTTTGAGGTCAGAGGTCTGTACTGTTTATTTTATTTAAATAATAGGAACAATTGTGACATTATTGTTATATAGGTCATTGCTGTAGAGACAGCACAGAGATCTATACTGTCTAGTTCATTAATATAATATCAATTATTATTAAGTAAACTATAAGCTTTAGTGAAGTCCAATAATTTGACACTAATTGTCTTTCAGAGACAGTTAATAAAGATTTGTTCATTTGACAATAATACTTTTAGTAGCTACAGGGGGCAGTGCTGTAGATACAGGACAGAGGTCTGTACTGTCTATTTGACTCATATAATAGTAACAGTAATGATATTATTAATATTATAATATTATATTGCTGATTATTCTTTTTCTTCTTCTGTACATTTTTACAGTATCTTTTGAACACATTATTCAATGACAATTTTGGGAGGTATCTTAAGATGCAAATCAGAAACACTTCTTGCTGGGACTCTTTTAGAAGCCATGCCTGCGATTAGCGGTGGCACCAGCACACAAAGTTTATTCAGGAAATGCAAATATTCTTGAGTGAACATTAATATATTGAAGAGGTTTATAACAGATGTAATAGATTTAATCTACAGTTTGATCATTTTAAAGAAGAATGAATTCCTGAATTTTCACATTTGATTATTTCATGTTTTTTGATCAATTTGATCAGATAAACAATAACCTATTATAATTCATTCGTTCATCACAAATTGGTTTTTTTTTATTACCCACAAACTTTAGTTTCTGTGAAAATCAAATTTGAATTTCCTTGAAGAAAATGTTTTTATTTACTACATACTGTTCTAATTTTTACTTTCTTACTTCAGTTTATTAAAAGATTTATTAAACTGCTTTTGTTAAAGATTAATAATGAATAACTCCAGAAGATCCAGTGGAACCTGATATATTGAACCTGCCACTGAATCAGTAATAACCTATAATGTAATATAATATAATATATAATAAAAAAGAATGTAAATATAGCATAATAAATATAAAATGATAATTTATAACAATTAATAATCTAAACTTTTTAGTGACGTTTAGTTTTCAAGACATTCCACCTGAAGTCACACAGATTTGACCTTGTCCAACAGCTAGAGGATTAAATACAGGTGAGCTGTTAACCTGAACTCACCTGAGC